ACATGACGAGTGGCGGTCGGACAGATTGGCTTTCTCTTTTGCGCTGTACCTGTAGCTTGATCATCACATTTCAGCCCAAATGCACCAGACTTAATCCAAGACGACTGTCTTCACATGACCCCATCTGTGACGTCTCGCATGTATCCCGTGAAGCGCTATCTGTACCTGACAAGGCAGCGTGACTTGCGGCTCCTCCGGGCTGAAACCCATGACGCCATCACCCGCCTCACCAGACGCCTAACCGCCTCCATACAACCAGCTGCATGCAGACTGGATGCACAACATGGATAATCAGAGCGACTTGAACTGTTCTAGCACCTTCTGAAACAATGACATGCTTTCCAAGCGGCTTTTGACGCGTGCTTGCCCAAGTAGTCCGCATGGCGCGACCGCGGGCGTGGGGAAGCTCCAGCTGGCGGCAGGCACGGACCACAGCAAATGCAGGTGCAGTGGATCTTTGATGGACGCGATCTGGGAGAAGTTGATCGAGACACCGCCGTGCATTTCTGTCCTTGCCAACTTGTACCTGCAGAACCATCGTAGTTGCCTAAACAACCCACTACCTGTTCGCAATCGGATCACTTCCGGAATACTATTCTGAGACCCCGCAGTTATGGCGGCCCAGTACATCATATCAAAGTGCGCCTTCCCCTCTCGTCGACCTTGGACTTGGAGACTAACAAGTCGCGCAGAAGTCTCGACCCTCTTTTCGCCATATCCATCGGTCTCGCTGCTGCCTTCACACGGATAAATCGCGAGGAGAAAGAGAAGGGCCGGACCTCACAGGAGAGCATAGATGTGCTGAAGAGGAGATGGAATCTGGCGTGGCAGGGCACTGAAGCGGAGAAGAAGGCTTGAGCTCGAAGATACAAGAAGGAATAGAAAGAGGTGGGACGAGAAGGTCATAGGGAGATGCAAACGCAAGACATACAAAGTTGCATGCGGTGCACTTCCACCAAGGACGAATACTACGATACCCCACTACGCAATGGACAAGAGGAGGAAAGTTGGTTCAATAAGAGCTGTCTCACTACACAGAGGATAGGCACCTCTTCGCTACGCCATCCATAAGAGATGCTCGATAGTCATCATCTTCTGTCTGGTCGTACCCAGCTTGTCAACAGGCGTAAAGATCAAGTGACAGCTCATCCCAGAGGCTGCGGGGAATAGCACGTACGGCGCAACACTAATGAAACTCGCTCTGACGATGCGAAAGCTGTAAGAAATGTCACAGGCTTCATGGAAATATGCTTAAAGCCCTCTCGAATATGCTTTTTCTGATGTACAATTGCCAAAAGTCGAGTAAATCTTTTCACTTCCAGCTAGGCCTGTTCCAGATACCCACATCTGTTTAGATCTTCCTCCCGACACGAATATCACCACCACAGCCAAATCCCCTAGAAGATAAGCTTCCATGCCGCCTCGGCCGTGAGTCCCAGAAGCGCAACCGAACTCGCAGCAAAGACTGGAAAGCGCAGGGAGACGTTGTTCGTCGAAACATGAATAATGCTGTGTACGAATCTCAAGCCGACATAAGCCCACGCCAAACCAACGGTCCTCTTGTCCTTTACATCCAAAAGGCTCAGTCCCAGCAACACGGCGTAGAACTGAGTGGGTTGTTCGAGTAAGTTGTTGAAGTTATCTGCAGGCCACTTGACGAAGGCCGGTAGCTTTTCGTCTTTTTGCTTCTTGACGGTTGCCGGGTCGAAGCTGATGTCGTATTGGGAGAGGGCTGGGATTCTTCGTTTGTAGAGAAGAGCTTCCATGGCAAAGGTCCAGATGTTTAGGCCGACGAGCGGACCCAGGAGGGGTTTGTTGGCGAGAAGGGCGGACATGGTGGTTGCCGTAGGTATGGCGGTAGTTTGAGCTTTGAAGTCGGGTGCAATTGCTGGGGTTTGAATGGAGAATGTAGCGGAATGACGACAGAATTGGGTGAATTAGCTAAGCTTTGAGAAGATGCTTGTACCTAGATGCTACGTATTTAAGCATCTATCTCCCCTCGGTATAGCTGCTGTGAAGGTGATCGGTCGAACTTCGGCCTGATTACAAAATCGATGGCTGACAAACTTCACCAGTGATATACGAAACGACTCCACCGAAAGTTGTATCTAATGTCCACTTTCTTGTTACTTTAGGCTATTCAAATCTGGTATGATTGGAGATTGATGGTCATGAACCGTAGACGGCTCGCTTGCCTATCTAGCGGTTTGACCTGATCCTGTTCAGGTACCGCGTCTGTGCAAACCTCTGATCTCTCTCCACCACAAGTCCGCCCTCATCTTGCACTGCCAATCGTTCCCGAAGAACTGACCAATGTTTAGGTTACATGCTTTCTCCGTCGCAACAAAGACATCTTTATCAGTGCCTGGACCACGTTCATGGACGCTGCACTCCACGAAGCTGATTCTGATGAGAAGTGCCGCCTGTACTTTGACTTTCTAAAGATGGCTTATCTGGGCGGTATCGCGTGGGACCTGATACGAGTGAGAAAGACTCCGCCATGAGAGTGGCGGGCAGGCCAAAAAGTATCTTCGATAATCAGTTGTACGACAAGAACCAGTTCGGACAGTCTGTTCGCTAAGGCACCGGGAGTGGGTGACTCTATTGGCGACACACTTGGGCGGGTACAGCTCTTCTCTCGGGTTTTGTCTACGCGGCCACTGGAAGAGCTGTACAGGCATCATTACCCTTTGCTTGACCGCATCAAGTCTAAGCGGACTCAAAGACGGTTCCTGGACGCTTACTTCATTAATCCTCCGAAGCTACGAAAGAACGCAACAGCGACGAATGGGACTCGTTGCCGCAAAGACATCCCCCTCAGCCCAACGCTGGTTGGTCGGGGTCCAGGGTAAGTGAAAGCATGTTAACGTGTGCCAGACAGTCGGTGTACTGACATGAAATCCACGCATTCTAGCTCACTTTTGGAAAGCTCCTAGGTTCGTACTGTGGTATCCCGATTCCCCGAGTGGGGGTTCGGGATCGTCCTGATTGGCCCGATGGTCCTGCCTAGCGGGTTTTGACGAATAGGAAGTCATGGCGGAAGTGGCGATATCTCCAACCTCCAGGAGAGTATCACCGCGCCGCGGTAAGGGATTCCTGCCACATGGGAATGGCTGGTTGTACATGACGCTACGAGTCATGGTAAATTCTAGGATCGTGAGCACCTGACCTTACGACGTTACACCGCGGCACCGGGAACATGACGATCATCATTCCTAAGGCTTCACCGACACTCAGATACGAAAACGTCAAAGAAGTCTTACATCCGCCGGTTAAGATATCCTTCTAGGTGCCGAACTCTGTCCGTGTGGAACTATATATGCTTGTAACAGTACGACTGGCAGTCAACTCCAACTGAGACGAACATCGCGACTGCGTACCTCAAGATGGATACCTTGGCCAACAACACGCATCCGAAATGGTGGAAAGATCCGGGCATGAAGAAACTCAACTTCTTGCTCCTTTCAAGCTACATAGGCGCCATAACGAATGGCTACATCAGCTCCCTCATCTCCAACCTCATTGCCAACCCCAGATACTTCCAAGACATACAAGGGCTTTCCCATCCGAAGCTGCTCGGACTAGTCACCGCTGCCCAGTCCATGGGATGCATCGCCGCTTTCTTTCCAGCACCATGGCTGTCAGATAAGTACGGTCGCCGCGTAGGAATCATCTTTGGAAACATCGGGATGATAGCCGGCTTTACAGGGCAGATCTTCTGTACGAGATTCGATCAATTTCTCGGCATGCGTATACTCGTCGGCTTTTCGAGTATTTCAAACACGATTTCCTCCTCCGCTTTACTCGTCGAGCTTGCACATCCACGCCAGAGGGCCGTTGCAGGTGCGCTCTTCAACACATGCTACTTCATCGGCTCCATCACCGCGGCTTGGGCCTCTTACGGGGCTTTGAGAATACCGGGTTCGTGGTCATGGAAACTACCGGTAGCCATTCAGCTGTTTTGGTCGCTGGCGCAGCTGAGCTTGATCATGTTCTGCCCCGAGTCGCCTAGGTGGCTTGTACGACACGGACAACAAGAGAAGGCCAAGTCTATCATGATACGATACCATGCCAATGGACTCGCTGGTGATGAGCTAGTATGTTCCGAGTTCGCGCGCATGTGCGCATCGACGGCGGCTGAGGCTCAGAATAACACTACTGGCTGGCTGGCCTTGCTTGCGACACCAGGCAACCGCAAACGCCTCGTCCTATCTGTGGTCATCGCCGTAGCTACGCAATGGGTCGGAAACGGAATCATCAGCTTCTACTTGGCGCCGGTCCTGCGAACGGTCGGAATCACAAACTCCCTTCACCAACAAGGCATCAACGGCGGGCTTCAAGTCTACGTCTGGCTCTTAGCCTGTGCAGCCGCACTGTTGTGCGAAAAGGCCGGTCGACGCCGCCTCTTCTTGACGTCCACGAGCCTAATGTTGGTCTTCATGGTCCTGATAACCATCTGCTCGGCCCTCTACTCGACCACCGGCTCCGCATCTGCAGGCTACGCCGTCATTGTATTCCTCTTTCTCTTCTTCGGTGGCTACGTCATTGGCCTGACACCCATACCCATCCTCTACGTCAACGAGATCTGGCCGAGTCATCTCCGCACGAAAGGCACAAGCGTATTTTGGGTATCGCAAGCCGTGTCTATCACCTTCAACCAATTCGTGAACCCCGTGGCGATTGACAAGATTGCTTGGAAATACTACTTGGTCTATATTGGTGTATTGGTCGCGGTTATCAACTTCATTTTCTTCTATGTGCCGGAGACTAAGGGCCTGTCGCTGGAGCAGATTAGTAGCATTTTCGATCCGGTGCAGGACGTGACTGTCGAGCTGTCGGTTTCTGATGTTAGGAGGGAAAATGAGGCGTAGAGGATACATGGTGCAAATCTGGGTCTTTACGGTTAATTTCAGCGCAACGAGGCAACGACAAGAGAGGTGGATGAACGTAGTCAAATCAATAAAAATATAGTTACAAATTACGCGAGCTTATCCAAAAGCCTAGGAGTGGGTCTTTGACAAACTATCAAGCTGACTATAGGCAGTCCAAATGCGCTGGTCCAGAGGTCCGGGCATCTCTGTCAGTTTGTAAGCCTGACGGAGGGTATCCCAAGAGCTTTGATCAGTAGATTCGAAAGTCTTTGACCGTTTCTTCGGTTTCTGCTCCTGGCTTTGCACATCTGATGCCTCCTTCTTGCCCTTACTTTCATCTGTCTCCTTGGTATTTTTCTCCTCGACTTTCTCATCTTCTATCTCATCACTCTTTCTCTTCTCACCCTGATTCCCTTCCTTCTTCCCCTTCCTCCATACGATCCCGACAACGCCAATTCTCTCAGGTGGCTCGTACAGCTCAGCAACTGGCCCTGGTCTGTTGGGTAATCTTTCGTATATCAGAGTCGAGGCCTCAAAATCGGTGCCACCTTGGGTCTCTGGATTATGAGTGAGCGGGTGTATGTCGGTTCCTGGAAAAGGGAAGAGATGGTGATCGTCATTGATGAAGTAGTGTTTTATTGGCGGTGGACTGTCCTTCTTCTGTCTGCCTTTTCGAGGACAGGTTGTCACACATGCGGTATAATGACCCGCTCGTGTGAGGTTACCGGAGTGAATGATCTTGCCGATGAACTTGTACCGGAGCTGTGAAGACGGTGGACTAACGTGTGCAGTGAGATCGAGCTCGTTGGGGATGATGATGGGATGCGTATTCTTGATCGGCAGGCTTTGGTCGTCCTTGTCGAATACTTGTTCCCCATCTTTGTCAAAAGAGTTCAGTTCCAGGTTAATGCGAAGGTACTCGGGTGCGGCTTCGATCGTTTTGAACTTCTTGACATCTCCCGTATGATTGCAGGCTCCGCATGTTACCGGCATATCTTCGATATCCAGCCATGTCGAGCCTGCCAGGGCAGTCTGCAGATCAGGATGATTATGCCCATTCTTTGCAATCATGACGTTTGAGAAGCCAAGGTCTTTGGTGATGTCGTAGTCGTCGATGGAGTGGAGGTGTGTACAACTGCCATGTGTACACCGCATTTCTTCATGCCGGGTCAGAGTGAAGAGGTAGTTGAACTCGTCCAGTCGTTGGTGATTACTGTTGAGACAGTCAGTGATCTGTACACGGGTGGAGTTAAGAGAGTACTTACCCAGGATCGATACTGTCTTTACACGCATTTAGCAACCTCATCAAGAACTCATCGGAATCTTGCTGGCCAGCAGCATTTCTCCTGCGCCCATTGCGGTCACTGGCGCTTTCTTTCTTAAGCTTTCGATTCATGAAAGCATTCTCTGATTCTCCCTGCGCTTTAGTGAGTCCAGAGGAGCTGGGGGGCTCAGTGGACCAGCGTCTAGCCATGGCGTTCAACGCTTTGACGCTAGGACGTGTGTGGGGAAAATTCATAGAAGGATTGTTTCCATTTTCCCGAGCATTCGACCAGTAGTCCAGGACAAAAGCCTTTACCAAGCAGGCTACGCATTGCTTAATGCTTTCGCCCATCTTAAGGAGCACTTGGTCCTCCGTTTGATTCACCGGTAGATGGCGATTCGGATCGTTTGCGCGACAAGTCCAATCCGCGCCCAGAGCTGCATCGTTATGCTGCTTTATCCAGCTGCAGAACTTTGGAAGATGGACGAGGTTTTGTAAAGCGCTATTCATGTAGCAAGAGTTTCCCGAATTGCCAATGCCGCGGGGCTGCTTGTCGGGACGGCCTTCTGGCCATCTTTTGCTAATTGCATTCGTAATCGCAGGTCTGCGAGGGTTCCTTCCACGTGGCAAGCGAGACCGATGGCTTCGGGGAGGAGGTGCGGGAGGGAGATGTATAGGGGCGGTGGCTGCTTGGCGCCGCGTAATCGGAGGCATGTTGATCTAATGCAGTCGATAACGGTAGATGATGTAGGAATTGATGCGAGATTGCGATAGTCTCATGAAGATTTTTTTTGGGTGTGATGACTTCCCGCGCGTCGATAGTTCTTCCATCTCTTTTAAACTATGTTTGCACGGGCGACAATGGGTAGCCTTTCTCTTTGTTCTATTGTCGAGCTGGCCATTGTGGACCTTGTCACCAAACGGGCTTATTGATCCTTGGACAGGATAGCTCAAAGAAAGTGAAAGTGAAAGGCAATATGTGATGGGTGAATGTGACTGGATTGGCTTCCTCGAGATGTTAATCTTGGCTCACTCAACGTCGACTGCTAAATCGGAGATGACCTACATGTATTACGCGCATTGCAGTAGATAGCGATGCAACAGAGTGACTACATTGCTGTCTATACATCATCTAAGTTGATGTACCTTTAGACCTGCTTACCCTTACCTTTTCCCTCATATTGTTCCTCTTCGTCATCCTCCTCCATTCTCCTCTTCATTTCTTCCACCGCCGCTCTTCCCCCCTCCTCCCTCTTGGCAGTGCATTCATCCAGCAGTCCCTGAAGCTTCTTCGCCCTCTCTGTATCACTCAACTCCTTCTTCCACTTCTCGTTCATCTTACCTGCCAGCAGAGTATCCTCAAGTTCAAACCTTATCAGGATGGTGCTTGCGGTAGGACTGGGTGTGCTATTTTTGCTCACGGTAACAAGGTCGTCGTCTTCGCCTTCGGAAGTGGTGACTCGCTTCTCTTTGGGTGGAGACTCTGAACTGGAAGATGAGCTTTCTTCCTCAAAATCGGATAGGACTTCCTGGTCTGGCTCGTCGGGGGAGTGTTCGCTTGAGTATCCTGCATTGGAAGCGTTCTTTTGAGGCGTGTTCTTTGGTGGCATGTTGTGCGGATGGCTCAGTTATGGTTTCACCTTCTGTCGCCTGTAACGGGCGTATTATATGCAGCAACATGATTGCTAGAGATTGCGAAATAGACGTCACATGCAAGTGACTCCCCTCAAGCCTGACTTGCGCGCAGCAAACACACCCCTGGCAACCACATGTGGTCCTCAAGCTCAGTATTTCACAAACGACTACGGGGTTTCGCGCCAAGGTAACCAGCCTCTTCCAAGATACAGTCTCGCTCACAGCAGTGTAATCGTGACAGTAGGTCTTTTCTTCGTCTTCGTTCCATGCTAAGCATCCCGGTGAGCCTTCTCGTTCTGTAATTGGAAACCCAAGATCGAAGCCCGAAGTTCGGCAGGTAGCTTGGGGAATAGATGGAAGGTAGCCGCCATGATGGGCTGTTCATAGGGTTGCAAAGAAGGTAATGCGCCCTTCACTCGGATTGGGACCTGGTCTGGTGCGCGCCGGTCATCGAAATTGCATTTTGGTTAGTTTTGTGAAGAAGCGTGAATGGGATGTACTGTCATCGGATTGAATAGGAGCAGACCGTTCGCGCGAGACAGCGCGCGTCGACTGCTGTAAATCCGCCAGGATCTTCTAGTAACGCCATGGCTCGAGATATTTCGATGTATTTGTGATGCACGACGCGCCAGCGAAATAGACGCGTCGTGACCCGGTGGGTGCTTGCCCACACACGTCATTACCCAGCCATCTTTGTATCCAACCAAATCGGGTTAGCTCTCAAATCAACCCATCATCATCATCATCATGAGCAGCCACTTCAAGTACATCAACATGCTCACTCTTACCAGTATATTTATGTGTGCAAATCCAATCGTGCCATTTGTGTACAGTCAAGTTGTGACCCAGATCACCAAGGCCCGCCCATGCTCTGTGGGTATCCACCGCCCCTTCCCCCATGTTCAAACCCACGATGCGACGGCAACACTGCGCTTTGCCCACCAGGGAAGTGACCACCACCATAGTCTTGACCTTGAATATGACCTTGACCCTGACCACCAGTGTACATACCTTGCGCTGGCATCTGGCCAGGCATCGGCTGAGCATACGCAGCACCCTGAACAGGACTCGGCATAGGCCCCTGTGGCATTCCCCCTCCATAGCCTTGCTGCGGCATCTGCTGCTGCTGCTCAGTCCCATTATATGCCAGGTGCGACCCCCTAGTCTGCTGCGTATTCTGCCCAAACCCATATGTTCGATTAGGTTCCGGCATTGCAGCCACCGCAGCCACATTAGTTGTAGCCATCTTCCCCACATCTTTCGGTGGGTTCAGCGCAAAACCCCAAGTCCCCTCCCTCAACTTCCCCTTGACGAATCCAACCTTCTTCGCCACACCCTTGGGCATCTTACTCTCGTCGCATCCTCCAATCGCCCATTCACACGCCTTGACAACCGCATTCCACATCCCTTTCTCCGTGTCTCCGAGCACAGGGCTACCTTTCTCCTGTCTTACGCGCTCTAGCACGGCCATCATGAGGCCCTGAACGCGGCTCGTGACTTTCTCGAGATCTTGAGAGGACTGCGGGATGAGGATGTGGAGGGTCGCTGGGCTGGTGGGTCGGATTTGCGACTTAGTGAAGGCGATACTGACGGGCGCTGCGGTGTAGTAGTCTTGCGCGGAAGCAGAGGCGGGACCAACTGCTAGTCTGGCGAATGCAGGGACGCCTGCGCCGTGGGCTAGAAGGGCGAAAGGGGAATCGGCTAGCTGGACAGCGTGGTGTATGGCTTCGTCTTTGCCGGCTGCACGACACTTGCTCTTTTCATAGTTTTCTTTGCTCACGCACATTCTTGCCCAGTGTTTCGCTTTACCCGCATCGAGGTGCTTCTGCACCATCTTGACTGCGTCACTGCCGTACCTGCCTTCACTCGCAGCGCGAAGCCGGAATGCAAAGGTAGCGAGCTCATCTTGCGCTTTGTGGAGGTGAGGCCGCGACAGCGAGGTAGGAAGGAACGTGTTGATGTAGTAAGCGTAATAGTACACATAAGTACCCAGATACTCGAAGTTGAGCAACTGACTAGGTGCATCGAGGAAGACAACAGGAATGTCCAGTTTCTTTGCGAACTGTTCCAAGCGTTCGAGATCCGGCAGTTTGTTCGCTCGTCCAGAGACGGAAGGTGCTATTCCGTCTGCGAGGTTGAGGGACCCCGTGATGGTGATTGCAGATAAAGCGGATCGTAGAGGAGATGTTGTCATGTTGATCCACTGTAGCAGGAAGTGCAGTACAGCGCCGTGATGCCAGACTATCTTCTTCAATCCGCCCATCTTCAGTACCTGCTCGACAGCCGTATTGACTCTCTTCACTGTCTTCTCGAGCGCCTCCTGCTGTCCAGATAGAACGCCGTTATCCCATCCCCTCACTATGACAATCTTGCTGAACACCGCCACGGTGCCTTCGAGATGCTTCTTGCCATCAGCTCCAGTCAGATACTCAATCAACTGGCAGATGCGGCCGAAGTTGTTCCTACTTCGACTCTCTTCAGCAATGATTAGCATACTGCCATCACTTTCGTTCGCGCCCTTATTCTTGCGCACGCCGAGGTCGCACAGCTTGGCGATGACCGACGTGAGTTGGAGAAGGCTGTCGATATCGGAGTCGGTCTCCCAGATGTGAAGGACACCTGGGTCACAGACCTTTTCGAGAGTGCTCTTGGAAGCGGCAGCGAAGGACGACTTGTACCGATCTGGCATCGACTGCACCGACTTCTTCAACGCGTCGAGATCGCCTGACCAAGGGCCGTTGAAGGATGTCATCTTCTCGCGATGGTGATGTTTGCGCCGGTGGTGAGAGTGTGACTGAGATTTGTGACGATGGGGAGAGGTGGCGGGACTGTTGGGAGGCTGCGCGGGATGCGAAGTGTTGCGCGGCGGATGGGTCGGAGAGTAGCGATCGATGAAGCGGTTGATATAGTTCATTGAAGGCCTGCTGTTGTTATACTCGTCTTTTTTAACATGGCGAAAGGTGACGGTTGGTAGTTTGTTCATGTTGCGTTTGGATGTGAAGGAGTCAAACTCTCTGTGAAGATGGACCTGCAAGATAGACACGTGAGCGCAAAGGCGGACGCTTACATTGATTGATTGAAGTGCAAAACGAGGATGACAGCGAAAGTAGTGAAGCATACGCCTTGCGCGTGGCTAACGGTGAAGCGACAAGAAGTTCGATGTTCGGCCAAGGCGTGAGGTGAAGAACGATATGCAAAATGAATATGAAGATGCGATTCGAAGATCGCACGTGTACCTGACCTTACCACCGGGGTCTCATTGGGTTCGAGCAGTCGTGATATACCCGCACAAGTATCCAAATGTGCCGTAACGCCGCCCCCAATGAACAATTAAACAAAATGAGACATGTGCCGTCTTTACTTGCCAACACCACCACCATGCTCTAAGATAGTCTGCTTGTCAAGCTTCTCCACCTTCCTGCTCAGCAGTGCACGTAGCTCAGGACTGATGACCCTCGCCTCATCTTGCTCCTCTTCACCAACCTGCTTGCCCTTATCTGTGCCGGAAGTCGACGCTTGGTCTTTCGCCGGTGACGCACTTGAGGACGTACTTGGCCCGGGGCCGGCGACGATTGCAGCAGCCAACTTGCGTTGCCGGGCTTGCGGAGCGGAGGGAAAGTTGCCCTTCTTGTCGATTGTCTCTACCGTTCGCTGAAATCTCTTGAAGAGTGACTCCGCGCGAACGAGCGTTGATTCGAGATCCATAGTACCAGAAA